TAGAGTTCAGAGCTCCCTGATGAGCAAGCCATGGCTGTGTGCAGCCTGCATTGGAATTTCACTTTTCCCATTGCACAATCCTGCTTCCACCACCCCCTTCCACAGGTGTTCATCTCCGGTAAACATCTTGTACCCCAACAAACATCATAAAGTGTGCTTTTAGAAAACCCAACCTGGGAGAACATTTCAATAACATGAACAACAACATGATCAGTATGAAAACAAACAGTTACTGTTTGTCAGGGAGTAGGGTCTGGTCCAATTGTGATGTCATCAAGTCTTCCTTGAAAACATCCTTTAGTATATTATTAAAACATAATTTTGCAAATACAGTGATGTCACCCATTCATCTTACTTGATTTCTCATGCACTGGCATTGTTCATCACTCTGCATGTGTCCTTTAGCATCTTCCACATGATGTTCTCCTTTATTCCGGTCTATTTTTTCACTCCTTCCTATACCATCTTTGTATCATGTTTTGTGCTCTAGAATTTTATTCTTGAACTTCTTCCATACTTTCTCTTGGGACAATTACATCCACTCTTTTTCCTCCAACTGCTTAAAGGAAATCTTCAGTCTTTGTCTCCACCTCAAACTCTAATTTCGCTCACCAAATAGACTGTATTAAAAAATCCAATGGAAAAATACTATAAATCTTCTGTCACCTTGCTCCTACCCTCCCACATGAAACCAGAAATAGTTTCTAAAATCCCAATCCAACAAAGAAAATTTCCCACCTCATGTAGCAGGCTTCAGTCCCTGCTGTTAAAAAACAACAACATCCTAACCATTTTATAGCTGCCAGACCCTTTAAAAAGTGCAAGTAAATAAGCCGGGCTTGGGGCACTGTGCTTTGTCATTGAAAACAGTGAACAAAGCCAGAATGTACCAAATTATTGGAAAAATTTGGAGCCCCAAGTTGAAAGATATCGGTTCTTTCTCCAGCTTCTCTCCACTCATCTGTCTGTATTTGCATCTTTTGCCCCTCTCTACAGACACTTGCTTTTCAGGCCACGGATCATGTGGAGAGTTTCCAGCTTCTGGACGGTTATGTTCAGACCAAGCCTTATTGATAATGACCTACACGTTCTCTGACTCAGTTCCAAATTCCTTCATCCACTCAGGACTCCTCAGTGGGGTCAACAGGAAAGAATAATATCTAAATTGGGCTGCATGAATACACACAATTGAACCTCTGGTCTAGGGGAATTCTGAGAACATGATGATATCGTGACTGGGAGGACATCCGAAGAGGAAACTGCTCCATACCCTGATTTCCTCAGTCATGAAATGCTGTGCTTGTCCTGATAATATCCGTGTCCCTTTCCCTCATCCCCTCATCCAAAAGAGATGATGCTTTACACCAAATACTTTAGGGACTAAGAACCAGTATTCCCCCAGCATCTCAGCTGTCAAGTACATCAGTCAGCCTATACAGATGTCAAAACCCAAATAATCTCATTGTCATTGAGTCAATTCTGACTCATAGTGACTCAAATATAGGCCTTATGAGAAAATAAATCTTTACAGGAGCAGACGGCCTCATTGTTTTCCTGTGGAGTGACTGGTGTGCTTGAACTGCAGACCTGGAAACTAGCAGTCCAACACTTAACACTACCATGCCATTCTTATGCAGATGATTAGACCTGAACAAAACAGGTTTACACAGAAAACACTGCAATTCCGAATGTTCTGAGCCAAGGAAACAAGAAGAAAAATATTTATGATTGGAATTTCCAAGTCTATAGAATAAAGCCCACATCAGCAAAATGAGGAAGCTTCATGTCCTAAGGGATTCTGTTTAGGGCTTAACTCAAGCATCAAGGTGGTTTCATCTATAAGTTCTGATTTAGGAATTACATAATATTCATTGTCTTCATAGTCTGGTTTAAAGGGTCCCCAAAGCAGGTGAGACAATTATTCTCTTCTTGTGTCTAATGAGGCTCTCAGGGAATCTGGCACCAGTGACCATAAAGACTCCTGTAAATGCCACTCTGTGATTTTCCACAAACAACTTTCCTGCACAGAGGACTAAGACCCTGAACGCCTGCTGATCACTTATTCAGAGCCTCCCTATATTTCTAGCAACTTCTAATCCTTGTAATAAGAAGAAGCATTGATTAGTCGTGCAGAAGTGAAAAAAATCTGATAACTACAGAATCTACCACCCCTGGTAGGATTAAAACAAAGGATATACTAATATTTCCTTTTTTTAAGATGAGGACCCTCTTGTGGACTCAGGGGAACAATAATAATAGTTGTGACTCTATGAATCTATCAGTTGAATCTTGTCATCAGTTGAAGGTTGTGATAAGCAGAGCAATAATACACAATCTGTGTGTGTGTGTGTGTGTGTGTGTGTATGTGTGAAGGACTTAGAATGGAATTGGGGTTGGAGTTAAAATATATATATAAACAGAAAGAAATGTAGTCACCCAGTTGAACTGTGTATATTCTTGTGTGATTTTCAACTTTAAAGAAACAAGAGTCAGAAAGAGTCAGGAAGTCTGACAGGAATATTGTCAGAACTGAGTATGGAAAATTGGGAGTATAAGTGCAGCGGACAGACCTTGTTTTGAGCAATGCTGTTACTGATTTGCAAACCTGCCTTAGACTGGCATTGAATTTGTCACATGTTTAACCACTCCTGTCTAGGTGCCTGGATGGCTGTTGTGCATTGACC